GCCTAGTTAGAGTCACATAGGACATATTTAATTCTTCCAGTAATAGGTTATGACAACACATGTGAAATGTTATCTACCAGGGAAGCTTGTTAGAGATTCAGTGCCCAGTATTTCAATCAGGGGCTGAACACATAGGCATCCTCTGCCTAGCATGTACCAAAATTCTAGACATAGAAGGGAAGCAAATGTTCAGCATAAATTATATTTGTATGTGCAGTTTAGCACAGTTAGCCACTCTTATTGGAAATCCTCTGGGAATCTAACTTCCCAGATTCCAGCTTCACAAAGGGTGGAAGTCAGGTCTCCTATATTAACTCTTCTGCATAGGCTTGTTAAGGCCTGGGCTTAGAACTCCCATAATGTCATTCTTGCTACATTCTGTTAGTCAAATAAAGTCTCAAGTTTGGCTTATATTCAAAGGCATGGAAAAATTCACCATGTCTTTGCTGGTAATGTAGGGATAGGAGGAAATTGGCTATTTTGTTTTCTTCTTTTTTGCGATCTATCACGGATATTACCATCGGCCACTAAACAAATATTTTTAAAATATAGCTTTAGTTAGCTACATCTGTGTCATAATTATAAGTTTGCAGAATTTACATGTCTGTTTTGTGTGAATTTTCAGAATTCAAAGTTGGATGCTATTTCAAAAGATTTGGCTTAAAAATGCTAAAGGAGAGGAAAATATGGTTGGGAAGGAATTGTTTTATTCTGTTTTTCTAAATTTAATTAAAAGCAATCTTGGTAAATATGAAATGACCTCTTATTCACTGTGTAATTTTCTCTAACTATGCTTGCTTACACATGTTCAATGTTAATTTCCAGTTAAAATAGGCACTTTAACATTGTATTCTGTCCTACTTTAGCAGAATGGCTGTGCTTAATCAGAAGTCTGTCCTGGATATGATTAAAGAGTTTAGAAGGAATTGGCATGCTTTTTGCAACTCTGAGAGAACTACTCTATGTGGTGCAGATTCCATGCTCTTGGCCTTGCAGCTTTCCATGGCAGAGAACAACAAACAGGTTAGTAAACTATATTTAAATTAAATTGATTTTTTGAAATTGATTTTCATTGTTGTCCTTTTAAATAAACTTAAGCTTAAGCACCCTGATTTCTTTGCTATATATGCCCTCTTCTGATAAGATACTATTTTCATAAATGCCTCTGCATTTCCTTGTTGAAGTATTACAATTGGATTTGAAATAAGTTGACTGAAAATTAAGGCAGCCGTGTATAATTGAACATGGAACATGCATATTTGATTTTCAATGGGGAGTTTTAAGATAACCTGTGTCTATTATGGTTAAAGTTATTTTTTTTTTTTTTTTTTTGAGACAGAGCCTCCAGCTGTCCCCCTGGGTAGAGTGCCGTGGCATTACAGCTCACAGCAACCTCCAACTCCTGGGCTCAAGCGAGTCTCCTGCCTCCGCCTCCCAAGTAGCTGGGCCCACAGGCGCCCGCCACAACGCCCGGCTATTTTTTGGTTGCAGCCGTCATTGTTGTTTGGCGGGTCCGGGCTGGGGATTCGAACCCGCCACCTTAGGTGTACGTGGCTGGCGCCTTAGCCTGTTGAGCTATAGGCGCCGAGCCGGTTAAAGTTATTTTTATGTAATGAGACTTTCCTTGTTCCCTAAAAGAAGTTCTAGAAGGCACATATTTCTTTAAATATAATCACAAAGTATTTCAAGTCTAATTTTGGATTTTGATGTGGATTAATTATTCTTTAAGTTAGGCTGTGCATCAATTTGGGAGGACTTTTTTTTTTTTTTGCAGTTTTTTGCCGTGGCTGGGTTTGAACCTGCCACCTCCGGTATATGGGGCTGGTGCCCTACTCTGCTCAGCCACAGGCGCCACCCTTTTTGGGAGGACTTTTTAAAAAATACTTCCTCTTGTGCTCCAAACCCAACAATTCTGATACTCCTGATCTCCACTGAGATGCTGTAAACTACTTTTTAAAAATCTCCCCAAAGTGATTCTTGTGTAATTAGCTATGACCAACCTCGTTTTTACTATGAGCCCTAGCTAAAGTCCTAGACTCTAAAAGATGTGTCCGACTTTGCTTTTTTTCTGTCGTGCATTGGAAGAAGAGTTGTCTTGGAGCCACACATTAAAAGCACTGAAACACTGGGTATAGTGGCACGCCTGTAATCCTAAGTACGCTGGGAGGCTGAGGTAGGTAGATTGTGTGAGCTCAGGAGTTCAATTCCAGCCTGAGCAAGAGTGAGACTCCCATCTCTGCTGAATATAGAAAAACTAGCTGGGTGCTGTAGTGGATGCCTGTAGTTCCAGCTACTTAGAAGGCTGAAGGAAGAGGATTGCTTCAGCCCAGGAATTTGAGGTTGCTGTGAGGTAGACTGAGGATAGTGAAATGACATGACAATCTGATTTTATTTTAATGTTTTCTTTCTTTTCTTTTCTTTCTTTTTTTTTGTTAGAGATAGGTCTTATTTTATTGCCCAGGCTGGTCATAATATATTAATCTTATATGTCAGTAGTTTCTAAACTTAAATTTCTAAAAGATATTAATTACTGTCAGATTTGACCATTTCTCATTTTGACAAGTAAGGTCACTGAGAAAAGAGTATTTACTACATATTATGACCATCATTTGGAAAACGAATATTTTAATAACCTACAAGTTAGAAAGTATATAATCTTAAAATAGGGATAATCTTATGCATGGATAGTTGATAGATTTGCATATTTAAAACAACATAGACCTGTTAACAGATTTGGAATGTAGACAAAATTTGAGAAAATTTTATGTAGCCAGTCATTCTTCACCAATTATTTGTTGAATTTTTAGTATATGTTAGGTATCATTCTAAACATTGGTAATAGAGCAAAAGGAAGTATGTGATAGGAGAGGAAGAGAGATAGTACTGTAATAAGTTAGTGTTTTAAGTCATAGTAAATGTTATAGGGAAAAATAAAACAGAGATACAACTTAGGCATATACAGAGGATGGGATGGAAGGGTTGTTGCAATTTGAGATAGGGTGATCAGGGAAGGCCTCATTTAGAAAAGTACTATCTGAGCAAAGAAGGGGAGGGAACTAGTTAGTTTGTTTTTGTTTTCTGAGACAGAGTCTCACTTTGTCACCCTTGGTAGAGTACCATGGTGTCATAGTTCATGGCAACTTCAAACTCTTGGACTCAAGCAACTCTCTTGCCTCAGCTTCCCGAGTAGCTGGGACTACAGGTGCCCACCCCAACGCCTGGCTCCTTTTTTAGAGACGGGGTCTCACTCTTGCTCAGGCTGGTCTTGACAACTCCTGAGCTCAATCGGTCTACCTGCCTCAGCCTCCTAGAGTGCTAGGATTGCAGATGTGAACCACTGCACCTGGGTAGCTATGGGAATTTTTGTGGAAAGAGTTACCAGGCAAAGGGAACAGCAGATGTGAGGGCTTGGAGGGGAATATGTCCAGCATATTAAAGTAACAGTAAAGAGGCCAATAGAGCTGTTTATATAAGTATCAGTTTTCCCCTATACAGATTTCTTTTTTTCTTTTTTTTTTTTTTTT